AGAATGCAGTTCTGGCTTACGCAATGCGTGAAATCACTTCAGTTTCTATGCGCCCATCGTGGCTGACGCAGCTGCCAAGGTAAGTGGATTGATCAACTACCTCGAGTTCCTCGTTTGCAAGCGTCAAGGGGTCATCAAGTGACTGGTGGTCCTGCAGCAACACTGCACTTTGGAGGTGCGAAGTGCATATCAAATAATGGGACCACTCTGGACAGGCTATTCAGAGTTAATAGGGCAGTCGCAAAATCGGCAAAAACAAGACGATATCGTCCGCATAATCGAGATCAATTAACTTTTCACCAGGCAGGAGGTAAAAGCCTATATCGTGAGCTTCCGTGTGGGAACACTCCATGATAGAGTCCACGGCGAAATTGGACGAAAATTGGGAAATCGGACAACTTTGACGAAGGCCACTTGTGGTCGGAAAACTATCTGACAGGGCACCGTAGACCCTGACGCGGCCTGTAATGTTTGAGTATAGAGCACATAGGATGTTCACATATTTCGTGGGAACACCTATACGCGCAAGTAGTTCGGACAGAATGCATCGATCGTCTGAATGGAACGCACTTTTGAAATCGAGGAACACAGCTATTGTCAGTCTGCGGTATGCGTGGTGCTGCTCCAGCATCTGCCTTAAAGTGAATATATGGTCTATACAGCCAGGTCCTGGGCGGAAGCCGTCTTGCTCTTCACTAATCGGAGATTCCTGTTCCATAGTGAAGCGAGAAACGTGAATCTAGGCCAGTAAGATTGTCAAAACTGAGGTTAGACTAATACCCCTGTGGTTAGAACAGTCTGTGCTACTGCTCTACTTGTATACTGTCCCTATAATCGCTTCGCTCCAGTTAGCCGGGACATTATTCCATATGGGTTCGAATAGGGAAGACAGTGTTTTGTAGAGGACCTCAGCACTATCTTTAAATAGTGCGGGTGGGAGGAAATCCGTGCCAGCGGCACGAAAACGATTGAGCGCTGTAATCGCGTTCCGGACCTCGACCTCCGACGGAGGCTCTAAACTAATTGTCCATGGCTAGTCCCGTATCATCTAAGAAGGAAGAGGTCCGGGAGCAGGGGACCAGCTGAACTGCTCTTGAAAATGCTCTGCCCAACTGGTCATACGGCGCTCCTTATTGTGTATCCGTGCACCTGCGCTGTCTCTAATTGTCTCACTACTGCCTGGTTTCCTGAGACCAGTGGTGCGGATCAAGTGGAAGACCATGTGACAATTGCCTACTGCTCCTGCCTCCTCCATTTCTTGAGCCCTACTGGTCCACCAGGCTTCCCTGCCAGCACGTAAACTCCGCTTTAGTTTACACCTATTAGCCCGTCTTGTTACGCTATGCTCAGAGCGAGCCAGCAGGTTTCTTCTGGATTCTAACACGTTCACCGAAGTTTCGGATATCCATTGACTGATGCGGTGACGACTGATAGTGCCAAAGGTAGACGCTCCTGCATCGTGCATGGCAGCCGAGATCCTATTCCACTGAAGCTCCGTGTTCTTAGGACAAGCCAGCGAAAGTTCAGTACGCAGTGCACCTTGATAGGCTTGCCTGACCGTGGGCCGGAACAATTTCTCAGTTGCTGAGTGCGAGTCCCATGGTGCGACTCTCATGGAGAAACAACAGCGTACTAAGACATGATCAGAGTCGACGCGGGTATTCTAGTACGAGGAGCAATCCAGGACGGAACGGCGGCACCGGTAGCGTATGGCAAAATGATCTACTTGGGTCCATTGCTGGCCAGCTTCAGGAAGACGCCAATTGGCAATTCGGCGCTCACTGTGTTTAAAGGTAGTGCTACACAGAAACAACTGGTGCTCCGCACACCGGTGCAATCGACACACGCCGCTGTCAGTTGTTTTAGGGGTAAACCCATAATCACGATCTAGCTGAGCTTCTGAAGAGCTCATATGCCTTACTTGTGCATCCATATCTTCTGCAAGCACTATGACATCTGAACTAGTAGCACTGCTTGGTTGAGCGTTCAGTACATGATAGAATGTGTCCGTGACAGCATCTGAACTTCAGTCGTTAGGAGCACAAGCGGAATTCGTAAACAAACAGCATTTTTTACTACTTCGTGAAGTGTAGCATTACTGTACTCATTTATTGTATGATACTATTTGTACGCAGTTATGTACCAGTTTACAAACGTTGAAGAATACACTTGAAAACGAACGACTTTCTTACTTGGGCTAGCATCAACATGCTACAGGAGCTAAATAGATCAAATGGAACTGTTACCTTTTTAGTTAGTAGAGCCTAAATACGCAGTTCGGTAAAAACCATTTGGCATTTTAACATTAAAGGTAACCAAATCTATCCGTACGGATAAAACAATTCAAAATAATTGCACGTAGATCTAGCCAACACGTGGGTATAAACATAAGTTTTCGTAAAAGTTTAAAGCAAACGTTACCAGTAATACACATTTGGTATAAGGGACAGTTGGTGTTATACGAACTACAGTTTCGTCAGGGTGATTAAAGTTCACCAGAACTAAGAGTAAAGAAACCATCTCCATAAACTAAAGTAGTCGTTTCAAACACAAGTTTCTTCATCTACTCATAGTCCCGGTAAATTAATGTACCCCGGTGTCAGCTTTTATGCTGTTACACGTTTATGTCGAGTCACAAACCAACTGGTTAGCATGCTCGTGCGCAACTCATAGGCTGCGCAATCAATTGTGGACAAGCTGTAGTAGGTCTATTTTTGCTGTTCGAAAATACTAAGCCCCAGTGTATTAACACAGAATTCCAGTGCGATCAGTCGATTAGTTAAGTTAATTGAGGTTCATCACAGCCAGCTTCTATATCAGATAGTCTTCCACATGCCCGAAAAAGCACTAGGCTGCAATTTCAGCCGATTGGGCATCGTCAGTAGTGCGCATCCATCGGATCCATCAAGCTTCAAACCTATGACCACCAGCAGCTTGCACCGCCAGTTAGCAGCTTATGCCACTGGGCCACGGCGGACAGCTTCGGACCGTCATGCTTTACCAGGCAACTGTGATATAGTGCGTCTTATCCTCCACTACTTTGCAAGTTACGAACGTTGCAGAGGACAGGGTTGGCCCCGAAAGACACGACTTCCACTAACAATAGTTAAGTTGTCCATCCGTACACCACGCATTACATTGCAGGTTGCCTGCGTGCAAAGGTGAGCACTGCATTAGTAATAAGGTTTGCTGCGAATGGGATGATGTTTAAAGGGTGCGTGTATAGCTACAAATTTAAAAACGGAGCGAATGAGGGAGATGTGCAAAACGCGAAGGGAAGAAACACGGCAGTAGCAAATGACTGAAGGTAAGAGAGGTAAGCACCATTCTAACAGTTATATTGAAACAAATTTATAGACATTAATGTGGTTAGTTAGGGTTTATCTACTTACTTGGAAGGCAGCTACATAGCAAAGCTCCTTCATTAAATTTTGTATCGCTTGTCTAGCTTGGCATCAAACAAACATTATGTGGCATTATACTATATTTTGTGTATTTAGCATAAGTACACTCCAAAACAATATAGCCGCTGTGAACTGGATTCGAATGACATAATTGAAGCCCTGCTCAGCAAGATATTCTGTTATGCAAGGTAGGAGAAACGGTAAGCGGAGACTAGTGGATAAGTATAAGATGTTACTTCATTATTCCAATAAAGGTCTATAAGGCTTGCAATAAATTAAACTATCAGAGACAGATTGGCCACGTACGTCACCTAAGGCCATCAGTCCGGTATGTTGTTTAGTTACGTACACAGAAAACAAACCGGTTAATTCGATGCACACGGCAGGAACCATAACAATTTATTACCGGAGGATACAGATAAATTGACTATTCAAGAGAAGCAAGGCTTCTGGTGCTCACGTGGCGCGTTCAAGAACAACTGTCGTGTTATTCCGCTCTTTAGCGGTTCTAAGGGATAATAATCGCAAAGCAATCACTAGTGTGTGAGGCCATGCTAAGCAGCGTATAGAAAGATGCACTGCATTGGCTTTTTCCAAATAAAACAGGCTAGAACGAGCACGTACCCTAATGCTTCGTTTAACCACCTAACGCGCCCCTTTTATTGAAACATTAAAATATGTAGAACTCGGGATACAAGCAGAAGTAAAAACAATGGCGTGAAAGTTTGCATCAATGGTCAGCATGTAAGGGTAATGTCCCATACGGAAGAAACAGATGCTTTAGACGCTTAAACAGTTGTTTAATTCGCCGCTATGTAGTGCGTATAATCCGCATAACCTTTCCATTGCATACCTGTGAGCACATGTTTAACTCTGCACCACAGAACGCTTATGACAACAATGTTTAATTGTGCAGTAAGTTGACGAAGGAAAAACTAACCGTATAAAAACGTTTACAAAAGGTTATTGAACAAAACACTGTCTTACGAAACTGTCTAGTGTCACGCAGAGTGAATTAACGATGCAAGTGTTCCTACATGGCGTGAGATGCTTAAATAGGTTATTAAATAAGAATACACAGTTTTAGCATCGCTCCTCTTTGCCTGAAAGATTACTTTTGTAGTAAAATCGTAATTCGTGCGTGTGAGTAACGGCCAAAACACCATGGGTGACCAATTTTCGTGCCCTGGTGGTCTAACAGACGTCTTTCAGCCAATTGTTGGTCAGTTAAAACATTTCCGGTATAGCCTAAATGCTATAATATAACTTAAATACAAATTGAAAATGGATGGCTGATTATTGTTGACAGCATTTGCACCCAGGAAAAGTAATTCATGGCATTGGGTAGGGGTACGTTGAAAAATCATCCTGCTTGACCAAATGTTATCCCAAATGTGTCAAATTGGGATGTCCAGTGAGCACAAAGGATCGCTCCAGCGTAAAATTTTGGTTATTTGTGCTATGCCGGAAAGTAACATCTACAATAAATCTTCGACATAACACAATTCCAGCACTTTATTTTAATTGCTTGCTAAAGGTAGTAAGTACTGTACATTGATAACTTATGCATTATCAAAATACCTTAAGGTGATTTACCGTTTGTTGGCACCGTTTTTAGTCTTTTGCAAAGTCCAGCAACACCATTGTATTTCTTTGCAAGCACTTCAACGGCATCAGCTCCACGTAACTGCATGAGACTCTGAAGCTCTGACACGGTGCACTCGAAGTTTTCCACTGTTTCATTTGGTAGATTCACCGAAACCCGTTCACGCATCTTATTCGAATGCACGAAGCAATCAATAATCCGAAAACTAATACGCAAAATAACCAAACTAAAGCGAAGTTAATGATGACATCAAAACATACGTGACTCATGGATGCACGCTCCTTTGAGTTAAGTTCTGCTAAAATGGCGAACTTGTTAAACATTCGCAAAAGTGTAGATATAAATTAACGTAGTTTAATGCAGTAAAACGTTCAACATGTAAAAGGTTAAACAATAAGGATACGTTTTTAGTTGTTATTATTATAAACGCATCTACCGGTATATTGTTAAATATAATTTGCGTTAGGTATATAGGATAGGTTTGGTATTGCAACTGAAACATTGTTTGTCCTGTCTCAGGTGTGTCTCTTCCAGTTCCCGCGAAAATCAGGTATTGCGACGCATACAGGCAGTCTAAATTTTCTCCGGTTAGCATGAGTAAAAGAGTGCCTTCGGGCATTCTACTTGGGGGAGGTTCTAAACAAATCCTTTCGAGTTCTACTCTGCATGGGAAAGTTAAACGTACAGTTTAGTGGAAAAGCTATTTGGGTAGACATCACTAAATGTATAATACAAAACGTTGGTAGCTTAAGAACGTCGTGGCGGGTACTGGTGATGAGTTGCCGTGTTTGGTTGTTTGTACCATTACGTGGAACTGGCTCTCATCCTGTGATTCAATAAAGGAGATTCTCAATTCGGAATTCGGGCGATGCAGAAAACACCGACTTCAGGGTGTCATGACCACCACTGTTGGTATAGCGAAGTACCATATTCCTCGGCTATCGTATTGGCAAGGTTACTCAAGTGCATGTATCAAAAGACAAGTCAACTATGAACGATGACCGACACCTTATTGGTTGTCTCTTTAATTTTCCGTTCTGGTCTCTGTCACTGTGACCTAGTGGTTGTATCGCTGTTGTCAGTCGCTACCTGCTTGCCAGACACTGGTATTCACCTCTTCAAGATAACCCCGATCTCTTACTTGATGCTTGTGATAACTTCATCCAGTCTCCTGCGGAGTATTTACTTTGTGTTCCAGCTCCGCAAGTCTATTACGAGCTCATTTACGCAGTGGACTTAGGGAACTCAGAAGCAGCGACCGGAAGCATATTACATTGTTAGCGATCTGTCAGCTGTGCTTTTATTGGAATAGTGCACCATTTTTCGTTTGTTGGATTAATATTTTTACAGACGATACGAATTCCGCTGTTTCCAGTAGAAAGTAATCCGAAGATCTGCCTGGTAAATTTACCCTTTCGCACGACTCCTAAGCGCAAAGTTGCGCTTGTTTAGCTCAGTGAAACATCGCGGTGAGCTAAGTATGAAGGCACTGCCCAGCCCCATCCCTTCTGAGAAATTCCAAATGATCGATGGGAGCGGGAAGCTGGTTGCTTCTTGCGCCGTTTCCCTGAGGAAAATAATGCAGTTATTCTTCAAGCCGTTTAAGTGCAGATGCTTACAAGCTAGTGCACACTTCCGAAACCACTGGTGACATTGTTAATGCAGCGAATTATGCACAACTCGGGGCCCTTCTACAGCCAACTTTGCGAGAGCAAGTGGATGGTATGCAATTGTTTCAGCTTCGGCATTGGACTGGTGAGCCACTAACGTTTCTTACCACTGCTTTGAGACGACTTGCAATCGCCGAGCTCCCGAGCGACTTTACTGCTCCTGGAATGTTCAAACTCTTCCGGCAAGCCTCAGAAGCTACGACGAGTTCAAAGTGGATAGGGCGTACCCGTTAAAGCCAGCTGCTTGGCTGGCCGAAACGCGGTAGAGGGCCACCCATAACGAACACATTCGCGGAATCCCCCTCCGCAAATGCATGTCTCGGGAACAAAACTACTTGCAGTTGGCAGGGGCGGCTAATGGCCGTGCTAAATCTAGGCTCTCAAATGTGGCTGCATCACACAGACGGCTGTCCCGCTTGCCTAGTAGCCCCAGAAGTCAGGCCACAAATTCGTTCGCGACAAGAATATAAATGCTGCCGATTGTGTGAGGAGGCTGCTTACGCCCGCGAAGGCAATCAACAAATCCTCTCTCTGGCGTGCTCGTGAATGACTTCCGCCGTTTCCGGCGCTCACCCTGCATTCTCTCTTTAATGGTTGGTTACATGCAGGTTAAACGCAGTGAAATGTTAGTTTACACTGTTGCTCATTACCTAGTATTCCATATGTGGATAGTCCCAAGGGACGCGGTCCTCCAGCAGGCTACAGTGATATGGCTTATTTCAGTCAATGGGACCTTTATAACCAGCCGGCTGGACCCAGTCCACGATCACGTAAGGGAGTACTTTAGCCCCACAGCATGGTTTCTCAGTAGGCGACTTTCCTGCGGACGTCATAATTAGGGTAGATTTCGTTTTCATTTCGTCGCTGATGGTTAGTTCGGATAAATCCAGTTCCAACTAACAGTTCGGCCGCAGTGTTTCAGGACGTCGTGGGTTTTTGCCTGGCCAGCTTTCTCCTTATAAAAAGCCATAGACGTCTGCATAACGACGCGGTGACATGACGTATGTGACTTGCCAGTAAGTAATTTCTCTACGCGTCGACGCATGAGGATCTTAACCATTTCGCGAACGTCAAGCAATTCAGAGGTTTCATTTGGTCCCTTCCTGTAGTGGCGGGTGCACTACACAAACTCACAACGTCACAGTAATATTAACAACCTAACTCATCAGGTTAAATTACCCATTCACCCAACTACAAGCTACACATGCCTACACATATATTTCATATGTACTGTTTAAATTGTCACATTTTGCACCATTACTGAGATTTCGTGTTTGCATTACCATGATCTTGCCTTTGAAGGCGTGACTCGCTCTGTGGAGAATAAATCAGTTATGTAGTTTAAGAACCATTAGTCAGAAAATAACTGATAGTAACACACGGTTTATTCCCTTCGGTTTAACTGTTTCGCCAAAGTTGCCCTGCACAGTGAAGAAAGTGGCTAAACAAAAAATTTCCCATAAATGCACTGTAGCAGCTCCGAATAAGTCCCACAGTGGCTTAGAACACCTTGTAGAAATCCAAACATGCTTTCACATGGACAGACTATGAACTATGTCGCTGTAACTGAGCAGCACTTCACCGAGACCGGCAATTCATCGTCTACTTTCCCACACGCAGAGCGCGTGCCGCTGCATCTGTAATAACTAAAGTATGAGTTTATGCTCGAATTCCACGTGGCACACCAACGAAGGCATGATCAAGTCTGTACAGGATATTATATTTCGCAACAGGCACCTCACTTTGCATGAAGGTAACTGCTCGTACGACGTATGGTTGTTACTGAAATGGGTGATATACTGGTCAGGAACGGGATAGGCATTGGTGTGGCATTAGTCTGGGTTCTAGTGTGTGTTGTACAGCCCAACCTTAAAAGCTTAATTTATGGAGTGGTAACAGAAAGTACAGACTGGGAGGTGTCCTTTTAGGGTACGTCCCAAAGAGATAATAAAATGTAGCGAAATGTCGCTCTACCTAACTCGCCAGGGTACATTTGGGGGCAGTGATTTGTTCAGTAGCTGGCTACATACCCAATTTGCAGTATTGTTAAACAGACAGCTGTGGTTTTTTATAGACAGAACGATTGCCAGGCACAATCCCACGACGTCTAAGAACACTGCCGTCCATCCCTTTAACTGGTACTGTTTAACTAGCAATGTACCTTGCAAACTGGTTTTATAAGGCTTTTCGGAGTCATGTGACACTTAATTTCCACCTTGGCTAGCCGAATTGCTTAGTCAAGTGGCTCCATTAGTCTTTCAGTCCGGCCGACAAATCGGAGGTCCAGGCGATTCGGGTGGTGAAGCTTTCAGGTGGATAAGTATTCACAAATGTTGATATCTAAATAGATGTATGTGTGCACCTAGACCTGAGTAGCTCGGTTTACGGGATTTGGTTATGTTTTCCTGCACTTTTAATCGTGTTTGAATGTGTCGTCAGTGCAAAAGGGAAGCTTTATACCTGCGGACTGGAAGCTCTTGTCCGGACAAGCAAGGCGTGAATTTAGTTGGTGGCGTGTCACAACCGTTATGTCACAATATTGTTAACTGGATAGTTGGTGCTTTTCATGGGGAGAACACTTGCCGGGCAAAATCACACCACGTCATGTGGCAAATTAAATTGATCCTCATGGCTAGATTCGTCCCATCTATGACGAACTTGCGATTCAACAATCCAAACCGGGAGTTACAAGACGTTTGCCTAAATTCTTTACGGAGCACAAGTAGACTTATCAGCGTAATACGACCAAACTCCGGTGTTCAGGCCACTTAAAAGAATAGTTTGTATACAAAAAGGGATAAAGGTTCCTCCACTGCTAAGTTATTGTCAAGAGAAAATGGCTGCTTGTACAAGTAACGGCCACCTGATTTGCTATCAGCTAAGCTCCACGTAAGTGGTGTGTTGAAAGGTTTTTCATTAATGAAAGGCGCCGAAACCAATTGTTCAGACGCCAGAGGACGGCTGCAGGGTTCTCCATTCCATGTTGCTACAGCAGAACTTGTCATTCAACGTGGAATAAAGCATCCATCTAAAGACATCAGTACAGGCGCGTTCGGGGGGCAATATAGAGGATCTATTAAAATGCTACTATTTGGCCTTCCAAACCACTTTGGGCATCCCCTAACGTCCTACTAAAAAGGAAAACAACGAATAAGGTCTCTGCTCGGCCACCGTAAGCTGAACGTATTCACAAGCAACGTCCCCTTTCCTTTACCATTGACGGACGATACCGTTGACGCTGTTTCCGGATCGCGCCGGTTTATTACCCTGGCCTTAGCTTCGGGCTACTGACAGAACGAATACACCCGAACCATTGTTGATGCTGCATTTATCGTCCCATCTGATCCGTACGAATGTCAGAGAAGGATCTTAGGGCAAATTGAAGCGCAAGCCATCTTTTAACGCTTGTTGTGCACCGCGCTGTCTAGACTCATTTCGCAACATTGTCAAGTCTACCTAGACAATATTATTGGCCGTAGTAAGACGGGTGGGAGACACAACACAGGCCTTACAGTTCTTTGGATCGACTTGTGCAACTGGGGTGTGCCGCGACTCCATGACCCACTGCGATAACATTTTTCTGCTTCAGGAAACATGGCTTTGCTACTGAGCGTTACTTTCTTGCCTACGAGCATTATTAAACATTCTAACCTTTTCTTTAACCAAG